CACAGTTACTACTATTGAGCAAGGTGCCACCTATGCTGTACTTGTGCATTTGGTTTTTCTTGCCTAAATGTAGAACCTTGCTTTTTTCACCATTGAATTTCATTTTGTTAGATAGCGCCCAGTGTTCAAGTCTGTCCAGATCCTCCTGTATCCTAAGCCTGTCTTCTGGAGTGTTGGCTATTCCTGCCAGCTTGGTGTCATCTGCAAATTTGATGAGTTCCCCATCTATCCCCTCGTCCAGATCGTTGATAAAGTCAGGATAAAAAAAAAAAATCTAATAATGCAATAAACAAACATAAATTTAATGGCATAGAATTGTAAGACTACAAGCCCTACATCTGGTTCCCACCTGGGGAAGACGGAACAAGAGAGCTGATTTTTTTCATTTTAAAACTCTCCGTTGGAGAAAACAAGCTACTTAGACAATGTGATCTGTTCTCCATTCATACATTTTATGATTGCTGCAATGCAGGGGTGCAGTCATTACATAATCCCGTTTTGGCCATCAAAACATCTCCCAAAGTTGCTATGGAAATTATAAATTTTGGATGGGGCAGAAAGGGGACGTAATTAAATCCATGGGGAAAACGTCACCAAAATTTCATTTTATTAATTTTAATCAAAACCATTTTGCTTTTTTTTTTTCCTCTTGCCCTTGTTCATATTTTTAGAGAGTGCAACCTGGGTTCTCTTAAACTGCTGTACTTTTGCCCTACCCGAATGCTTTATGAAAAGGGGTCTCTCTAAAATTTAAATTTATTTTTTAATAGTTTTAGGGCTATGTCTGTTTTTTTTGTGTGTGATTTGCTAGTGTGGCAGTTGAAACAGGAGCGTGAGCCAGCAACAAAATTGGATTTTGTTTAACTTAACATGCGACACAGCACATTGTTCCAAAGCTAAGTGGGAATCGATCTGGTTAGAAACGGGCAGAAAATTCCAGAATGTAGATTTTTTAAAAAAAACATCCCAGAAAAACCACAATAAACAAATCACATGTGTACAATTGCCAAGGTGTCCGTGAAATTCTCAAGTGCCATTAGACTTAAGTTTTATACACAGATAGTCCTCAATTTCCAACACTGCAACCATCGTAAATATAAGTCAGTTGCCAGGTGTCTTGAGTTTTAATCATGTGATCCAATGAAATATAAAATAAAATAAAACATAATGAAATAAAAAACAAATAAACAATGAAATAGAAAATAAAAAATGAATAAAATAAAAAAACAAAATAATAAATAAATGAAAAATAATGAATTAATAAATAGGTAATAAAATAGAATTAGAAAATAAATAATAAATAGAATAATAATAATATAGAAAATAAAAAATAGCAATGACAAAGTAATAAAGATACTCCAGAAGACAGGCTCAAGATACAGGAGGATCTGGACAGACTTGAACACTGGGTGCTATCTAACAAAAAGAAATTCAATGGTGAGAAAAGTAAGGTTCTACATTTAGGCAAGAAAAACCAAATGTGCAGCTATAGTATAGGGGGTTCCTTGCTCAATAGTAGTAACTGTGAGAGGGATCTTGGAGTCCAAGTGGACAATCATTTAAATAGGAGCCAGCCGTGTGCTGCAGATGACAAAAAAGCCAACACAGTGCTAGGCTGTATTAACAGAGGGATAAAATCAAGACCCCGTGAAGTGTTAATACCACTTTACAAGGCCTTGGTAAGGCCACACTTGGAATACGGCATCCAATTTTGGTCACCACGATGTAAAAAAGATGTTGAGACACTAGAAAGAGTACAGAGAAGAGCAACAAAGATGATTAGGGGACTGGGGGCTAAAACATATAAGGAACAGTTGCTGGAATTGGGTATGTCTAGTTTAATGAAGAGAAGGACGAGGGGGGACAGGATAGCCGTGTTCCAGTATCTCAGGGGCTGCCACAAAGAAGAGGGAGTCAAGCTATTCTCCAAAGCCCCTGAAGGCAGGACAAGAAGCAACGGGTGGAAACTCATCAAAGAGAGAAGCAACCTTAGAACTAAGGAGATATTTCCTGACAGTTAGAACAATTGGAACAACTGCTCCAGAAGCGGTGAATGCTCCAACACTGGAAGTTTTTAAGAAGAGACTGGACAACCATTTGTCTGAAATGGTGTAGGGTTTTCTGCCTGAGCAGGAAGTTGGACTAGAAGACCTCCAAGATCCCTTTCAACTTTATTATTCTATTCTATTCTATTCTATTCTATTCTATTCTATTCTATTCTATTCTATTCTATTCTATTCTGTTCTGTTCTTATTTCTATTCTATTCTATTCTTATTTCTACTGTACTCTATTCTATTCTATTCTATTCTATTCTATTCTGTTTTGTTCTATTCTATTCTACTCTACTCTACTCTACTCTACTCTATTGCCATAAATAAATTAAAAAGAAAACACAAACAGACAATCTTCCCAAGGCAGTTGCAATGAACCACCAGCTCTTTCTCTGCCATCTGTTTTCTGTGTTGTTTTTCCTTTCTACAGGTTGCGCCGGGATGTGGGATAACATCACTTGCTGGAAACCAGCTTTGGTGGGTGAAGTTGTCTTTGTCAAATGCCCGGCTCTCTTCACCGTGGTGAACTTAGATTATGGTAAGGCTGTTGAACCCCGGATTCCATTTTTCTGAACTGCAAAAGGAAAATTGGGATTACAGCAGGCCAAGACACATAGGAGGAGGAAAGGGAAGCCTTAAGTTATTTATAATGCAGATCTCTTGACTCCGATTGACCTCAAAAAAGGAACGCAAATTCAGAACTGTTCGGTATAGATAGTCCTTGAGTTACAACAGTTCATTTAGTGACCAAAGTTGCAACAACGCTGAAAAAGGTGACTTATGATCGTTTTTCACATTTACAACCACTGCAGCATCCCCATGCTCATGTGATCAAAATTCGTAGGGTTGGCAACTGGTTCTTATTTATGACCATTGCCAAGCTCCTGGGTCAACAGAAAGCCACTTAGCAATAGAAATTTTGGGCTCAGTTGTGGTCCTAGGTCAAGGACTACCTGTATTTGGATGGGAGGCCACCAAGAGATCCCAGAGGTGTAGGCCAGAAGGCAACCATAACTGACCCCAGATCCCTACCATCCTGGTAAATACATGCTGGTTGACAAGTACCCAAATTTTGACTGCATAACTGTAAGGATGCTCTGATTGCTGTCAATGTGAGGACCAGTCATAAGTCATTTTTGTTTCATTATCTTCATAACTCTGAATAGTTGCTAAACAAATGTTGTAAGTAGAGGAATGCCTGTACAGGTAGTCCTTGACTTATGGCCACAACTGAGCCCAAAATATTTGGTGCTAAGAAGCCACTTGTTAAGTGATTTTTGCTCTGTCTTTCTTGCCACAGTTGTTAAGTGAACCACCCCAGTTGTTAAATTAGGTACACGGTTGTTAAGTGAATCCAGCTTCCCTATTGAATTTACTGTGAGAAGGACGCAAAAGATGATCACATGACCTGGGGATACTGCAACTGACATAAATACGACTCAGTGGCCAAGCGTTTGGAATTTGATCACATGACCGTGGGAATGCTGCAACGGTCGTATGTGCAAAAAAATGGTCATAAGTCTACTTTTCCAGTGTTGTTGTAACTTTGAACGGTCACTAAATGAGTCGTGGACTAAAGGGTTACCTGTGTATTGCAGAGAGAGAAAAGACATAAAAAAGAAGACGAAATGGAGATGCAGCAGGACTATTATAACTTTAAACAGTCACTAAATGAATGGTTATAAGTCGAGGACTACCTATGCTTTCCATCATTCCAATGCTGGATAAGAACTTTGCAAACTTTCTGGAGGGCTGCAGGGGGAGAACTCTTTGGCAACGTCGAGCAAGGAGAAACATCTTTTTCAGAAACTTTCGTAAAACTTTTCAACAGTTTATAGGTGTCTTTTATTGGTGAGTTTATTTATAGGGTTCCAGAGTATTTATTGCCTCTCCAAAATGCTTGGGAGTTGGGGAAAGTCGCGGATGGAGGGATTAAGCTCAGAAAATTGGGGCTGTAAAAATTAACTAGGGATTGGAGAAGAAGCTGAATTTCAATCTGAGTCCATTTCCAGGAAGAAATAGCAGAATTGGGGGATCTGAGTATTTTGGGGGGGAATTTAGAATTTCAAATAAACCTCGGTTATATTTGGGTATGTTTGTTCTGCAGAGATGGTCAAAATTTGGGAAGAATCTAGATGGCCATCTAGTGGCAAAAGGAAGCATTACAAGCCAGCTGAGCGGTTTTTTAACTGCTCAACTGAGAATTTCCTTAAATTCTTTTATGGTGCCCTTCAACTCAGCATAAAGAGATAAAATATCTTCTTCCTGGTATCCTGTTTAATGGATCCCTCTGAAATGACCATAAGCCATATGTGAAAACAGGTTAGAGTAGAAGACCTCCAAGGTCCTTTACAATCCTATTTTGTTCTGTTCTGTTCTGTTTTCCTTATTCTATTCTACTTTGTTCTCTTCTCTTCTCTTCTCTTCTCTTCTCTTCTCTTCTCTTCTCTTCTCTTCTCTTCTCTTCTCTTCTCTTCTACCCTATCCTATTCTATATTCTATTCTATCCTATATTCTATTCTGTTCTGTTCTTATTTCTATATTCTCTCCTCTCCTCTCTTCTCCTCCCTATCCTATCCTATCCTATCCTATCCTATCCTATCCTATCCTATCCTATCCTATCCTATCCTAGTCTAGTCTAGTCTAGTCTAGTCTATTCCTATTTTTCTATTCTGTTCTTATTTCTATTTTCTATTCTATTCCTATTCTGTTCCATTCCGTTCCATTCCATGTTCTGTATAGACCAGCTGTAATTCATAGCTAGCATTATTTCTGGAATCAGGGCAAACACACCTTGACCTTTTGTGCCTGTATTATCCTTTTCAATATATAAAGAGCCTTACAATCCTCTCCAGACTTCTTTCTTCAAGGCTGAATAGACACAGCTCCTTCAATCTCTTTAGAGGATTTAAATTCTAGCCTTCCCATTGTCCTAGTGATTCTCCGGACCTGTTTTAACACTTGTGAATAAGATCAAATAAGGAGTGACGTGAAGTTGTCTTTCTGTAGGATGGCTGATAAACACTACAAGTTCATTTAGTGACCGTTCAAAGTTACAACGGCACTGAAAAAAAGTGACTTATGACCATTTTTCACTGTGGTTGTTAAGTGAAGCACATGGTCGTTAAGCAAATCCAACTCCCCCCCCTTGACGTTGCTTGACAGAAGCCAGCTGGGCAAGTTGCAAATGGAAATCATGTGATCTCAGGATGCTGCAACTATGATAAATACACTCCAGTTGCCAAGCATCCCAGTTTCAACCTTGTGATGGCGGTTAAGCTAAGACGGTTGTAAGTTTGAGGACCGGTCATAAGTCACTTTTTTTCAATGCTGCTGTAACTTTGAACATTTGCTAAATGAATTGGTGTAAGTCGAGGATTACTAGTGTACATTTATAGAAGACGGAAGACCATCAAATGCATGTACTTCTGATTGTATGCGACTAAGGCCCTGAATACTGTAGAAAGGGGGAATTTAGAAAGATATAATAAGTATGAAAGTTTCATTTCATGCAAAAATGAAAAGTGCGGATATAATAATGAAAGAATATATATTTTTGTTGTAAGGGTTAGCCACCTTAATCTTTAATCTTCTTTTCTTTTTCTGCGTTGACCAGGCTGGGATGTGAATAGCATGGCGTATGCACAGCCAGGTAAGGTTTACTTCTATTGTCCATTTAGATAGGAGAAAGAACCATACATGGGAACGCTGCAACAGTCATAATGGTCATCACTCACTTTTTTCAGCATCGTTCTAACTTTGAATGGTCACTAAATGAACTTGTAAGTTGAGGACTAGCAGTCCTAAAGCAGATCACAACATCTATCTTCTCTTTTTTTTGTAGGAGAGTTTGAAACGTTTGAGAATCCGGAGCAGCTTCAAGGTAAGAAATGGAGACGGTTTACTCCAGTGATGGCGAACCTTTTAGAGACTGAGTGCCCAAACTGCAACCCAAAACCCACTTATACATCGTCAAGTGCTGGGTGGGCGTGGCCCATTGGGTGGGCGTGGCCCATTGGGTGGACGTGGCTGCCGTGGTAACGGCAGACTGGATGGGACTAAAAAGTTCAATCAATCAATTCCAACTTTGCAAGATCTTTTTTTTTTCCCGTGAGAAGTTGAAATTGACTGATTGAATCTTTTTTTTTTTTTGCACATGGTGGCAGAGGCCTAAAGCAAAAAGGTTTATAAAACCCATCTGAAGGCCTAGGACTGGGGCGACGGCGCGCGTGCCCACAGAGAGGGCTCTGAGTGCTGCCTCTGGCACCCGTGCCATAGGTTCGCCATCACTGGTTTACTCCATCCTGGCCCTGCTAAGATTTAGCAGAGGTGAAAAGAAGAATTTTTATCTGGAGTTTAGATATTGCTTTCCTGATTATTTCTAATGTTGAGGGTCTGCTTTTCGAACGGTTAACTTTGCATGGTACAGATAATCCTTGATTTACAACCACAGTTGAGAGCATCCACTGCTAAGCTGTGTGATTGTGAACTGAGCCGTGCCCAATTTTATATACTGAATTTCATTTTATTTATTAGATTCTTTAATCCTGCCCGTAAGTCGCTCAAGGCAGTGAAAGTGCCCAATACATCTTTCTCCCCCTATTTTTTCCACAACAACAACCTTGTGAGGTGGGCTGAGAGAGAAGGACTGGCCCAAAGTCATCCAGTTGGGTTTTCATGCCTGAGGCAGGACTAGAACTCACCAGCTCCCAGTTTCTAGCTTGGTGATTTAATCACTAGACCAAACTGTTTGCTTCTCAAACTGTTACTTGGCATGTTTTGCATAGTCCTTGACATATGACTGCAATTCAAACTAGAACATCCTTTGCTAAGCGCTGTGGTTGTTAAGTGAGTCGTATCCAAATTTATGATCTGTGGTCGCTAAGCGAATCCTGCTTCCCTCATTGAGTTTGCTTGTCTGAAGCCAACTGGGAAATGGTAATAGCAATCACATGACCCCAGGATGCTACAAGTTGCCAGTCCCCCAAATCTTGATCACGTAATCAAAAAGTTGAATCAACTTTATCCCCAGCATTGACCAAGCGATCCGACTGAAGTCAAATCCATCTATGGGACCTTGCAAACAGCCTTGCAGTGTAGGCCACCAGAGCCAAGCCAAGCAAAAAATTAAAATGCCTGTTTTCTCTTGAAATCCTTTTATCTCTTTCTCTAAAACAGGAGTCTCCAAGCTTGGTGACTTTGATGGGTGAACTTCAACTCCCAGAATTCCCCAGCCAGCCATGCTTAAAGTCGCCGAACTTGGAGATCCCTGCTCTAATGCTTCTTTTTCTAAAAATGTTGCATTTTATCCTTTTTCCCAACAGATGGATCGGTAGATTTTAAGTTGGTCAGCAGGAACTGCACCCTGGAAGGCTGGACTGAACCATTCCCACATTATTACGATGCCTGCGGATTTGATGAGAACGACACCATGTCAGGGAACGGCCAGGTAATCTGGCAATGAGAATATGTCAATTTGGAGGCATGGGTGTCACTTGTAAATCACAGCAAAAAAATTGACCTCTCCTATCCAAATAGGACCCGAGCCAGTAAACTAGATTAATACCTATATATGCCTAAGTACAGCCACAATTGAACCCAAAATTTCTTTTATTAAGAGACATGGCAGTTATTACCCCATTTTATGACCTTTCTCGCTATAGTTCTTATGTGAATCACCGCAACTGTTAAAATAGTCACATGTCGTTAAGCGATTCTGGTTTCCTGCTGGTCAGAAAGTTACAAAAGGTGATTACATAACTCCAGGACACTGCAACCGTCATAAATATGGGTCAGTTGCCAAGCGAATTTTGATCCCGTGACCCTGAGGAGGCTTCAGAGATTGTAAGTGTGAAAAATGGTCACAAGTCACTTTTTTCAGTGCCATTGTAACTTTGATACGGTCACTAAACAAAGGGTTGTAACCTGTGGATTATCTTGTGGAATTGGGTATGTCTCGTTTAATGAAGAGAAGGACGAGGGGGGACATGATAGCAGTGTTCCAGTATCTCAGGGGCTGCCCCAAAGAAGAGGGAGTCAAGCTATTCTCCAAGGCACCTGAAGGCAGGACAAGAAGCAACGGGTGGAAACTAAGCAAGGAGAGAAGCAACCTAGAACTAAGGAGAAACTTCCTGACAGAATAATTATAAACAGTGGAACTGCTTGCCACCAGTAGTTGTGGGTGCTCCAACACTGGAAGTTTTTAAAAAGAGACTGGACAGCCAATTGTCCGAAATTGTATAGGGTTTCCTGCCTGTGCAAGGGGTTGGACTAGATGACCTCCAAGGTACCTTCCAACTTTATTGTTGTTGTTGTTGTTGTTGTTGTTGTTGTTGTTGTTATTATTATTATTATTATTATTATTATTATTATTATTATTATTATTATTATTATTATTATTATTATTATCTGTATATGTTCTACATAATAATGTCATCCCATAGTATTCTTAACATGATTTAGTTAATGCCTAATTGAATATTCAGGAGGTGTGCATTTTCTTAATTCAAATGAGTTTTTGAGTTACAGGTAGTCCTCGATTTACGATCACAATTGAGCCAGTGGTGGGATTCAAATAGGTGACCAACCAGTTCTCTGTATGGATGCTGCTTCCGGAATTCCATTCTGGGCCTGGGCAACAAAAAATTAGCTACTGGTTCTGCCGAACTGGTGCGAACTGGCTGAATCCAACCAGTGAATTGAGCCCAAAATTTCTGCTGCTATGTGAGACAGCTGTTAAGTGACTTTTGCCCCGCTTTTCAACTTTTCTTCCCATAGTTGTTAAATAAATCACTGCAACTATTAAGTTAGTAACTTTGCTTGTCAGAAGGTCACAAAAGAGGATCACACAAGCCCAGGATATTACGACTGCCATAAATATGAGTCAGTTGCCATGCAAATTTTGATCACGTGACCATGGGGATGCTACGACAATCATGAGTCTGTAAAACGGTTTTAAGTCTCTTTTTTTCAGTGCCCTTACATTTTCAAACGGTCATTAAATGAGCACTTGTTCATGTGCAGTGTCCCAGGGTCACGTGATCCCCTTTTGTAACCTTCTGACAAGCAAAGTCAATGGGGAAACCAGATTCACTTAACAACAGTGTGAGTAACTGAACAGTGGCAGTGGTTCACTTCACACCTATGGCAAGAAAAGTCATAAAATGGAGCAAAACTCACTTAACAAATGTTAAGGGTTAGCAGTGTTGGCCTAAATTGCGGTCGTAAGTCGAGGACTAACTGTATCCTTTGACCGGAATCTTTCATCAGAATGCAGTGCTTTGTACAAACTGCTTCATTTGGGGTTGTAGATCAGATATACAGGTAGTCCTCGATTTACAACCACAAACTGAATCCGGAATTACTGTCCTTAAATTATTGCTGTCATTAAACAAGGCAGCCATGCTATCCAGGCTCATCCCATTGCAGTCTGATGCAGAATGTGGGTTGCCTTCAGGGATCAGGTTGATCCTGGGCTGCCGTATGAATGGTCATAAGTCGAGGACTACCTGTATACATGTGAAAGGAGTGAATTTGGACTCTTAGACAAAGAAAGTGGAAACCAAATCATTGAGCTTTTAATCTTTCCTCAAAGTAACTCCAACTTTGCTCTTTGATTCCACAGGCTTACTACTACCTGTCTGTCAAGGCTTTGTATACAGTCGGCTACAGTACATCCCTTGTTTCGCTCACCACCGCCATGGTGATCTTGTGCCGTTTCAGGTGAGTTGTCACAAAGTTGATCTGATTGGTCTGGCATGTTGTGGCAGCCAATTTGGGTCTAGTAGTTAAGGCACCAGGCTAGAAATCAGGAGACAGTGAGTTCTAGTCCTGCCTTAGCAATGAAAGCCAGCTAGTGACTTTGGGCTGATCATCAGGAGACAGGGAATTCTAGTTCCATCTTAGGTATGAAAACTAGATGAGGTATTTGGGGCCTATCATCAGGAGATGATGAATTCTAGTGCTGCCTTAGCCATGAAAGCCAGCTGGGTGACTTTGGGCCAATCACCAGGAGACAGGGAGTTCTAGTTCTACTTTAGGCATGAAAGCTGACTGGGTGACTTTGGGCCAATCACCAGGAGTTAGTGAATTCTAGTTCTGTCTTAGACATGAAAGCCAGCTGGGTGATATTGAGCCAATCACCACGAGACAGTGAGTTCTAGTTCCACCTTAGGTATGGAGGCCAGCTGTCTACTTGAGGTGTATCATCAGGAGACAGTGAATTCTAGTCCCACCTTAACCATGAAAGCCAGCTGGTTGACTCTGGTCCAGTCCCTCTTTCTGAGCCCAACCCACTTCACAGTGTTGTGTTGTTGCTATGGGGAAAACAGGAGGAGGAAGGTGTGTTTTATATGTTCACACATTTGATACTTATGACTATGTATCATAAATAAATGATCAAGGGCAATCTAGATTTAAAACAATTATCTGACAGGACGTAGGCCAAATAAGTACAGATAGCCCTCAACTTACTAGTGACCTTTCGAAGTTACAACAGTACTAAAAAAAAATGACATGGTCATTTTTCACACTTAACAACCATTGCAGCATCCCTACAGGCACCTGATGAAAATCTGGACATTTAGCAAGTGATACATATTTATGACCATTGCTGTGACCCCCTTTTGTGACCTTCTGGCAAGCAAAGTCACTGGGGAAGCCAGATTCACTTAACAACCGTGTTACTAACTTAACAACTCTGGCAAGAAAGGTCATCCATTGGGGCAACGCTCCCAACTATCTTAACAACTATCTCGCTTAACAACAGTAATTTTGGGCTCAATTGTGGTCCACCCATAGACATAGGAAGACAATAGACAAGAGAATGCTTTGTAAACATGACACGATCTTTCTTCCCCATTTCTTAAAATCCCTTTTCTTTTTCTTTTTCTTTCCTATTAGGAAACTGCATTGCACCCGGAATTTTATTCATATGAATCTTTTTGTTTCGTTCATTCTGCGCGCCATTTCGGTCTTCATTAAAGACGGGGTCCTGTATGCCGAACAAGACAGCAACCACTGTCTTATCTCGACGGTAAATCATGCCGAGAGGCCGAGTCCACTAGAGAATTTTATGTTCAATTTTTGTCAACTCTGTTGGAACGATTTAGTAAATATGGTTGCGGCAGCCATGCTGGACCGTTCTCTGTGGAAAACTGTGGCCCTCTCACAAAGCTATGTTTTGTGTGAAGGGATTGCATAGCAGCTGTCCAAATAAAGTCGGAAACGCTGACACAAACTTGTAGTTTTATATAAATAAATATATTTAACATTTATATTCACAGCAGACAAGATAGTCAGGTACACAGGGATATCATGAGGTAAAATTAACAGAAGAAGAACACACAGAAGAAAAAAAGCAGGGAAAAAGGGAAACTCCCCCTTTACACCCAGCAACCAATCATAGCGTAGATTGCTTCATGCAGGGGCCAGCAACCAATCAACTACAAATGTGAGTTCTGGCCCATTCTAAACTTTACTATTCCAGCTACTAAATTTAAGATAGATAGATAGATAGATAGATAGATAGATAGATAGATAGATAGATAGATAGATAGATAGATAGATAGATAGATAGATAGATAGATAGACAGACAGACAGACAGACAGACAGACAGATAGAGAGAAATGTAAGTAGATAGATAGAGAGACCGAGAGAGCGAGCTAATAGATAAGAGAGAGATGATAGATAAATAGACAGACAGACAGACAGACAGACAGACAGATAGATAGATGACAGATGATAGATGATAGAGAGAGAGAGATGTAAGTAGATATATATAGAGAGAGCTAATAGATAACATAGATAGATAGACAGACAGACAGACGGACAGACAGACAGACAGACAGACAGACAGACAGATAGATAGATAGATGACAGATGATAGATGATAGAGAGAGAGATGTAAGTAGATATATATAGAGAGAGCTAATAGATAACAGATAGATAGATAGATAGATAGATAGATAGATAGATAGATAGATAGATAGATAATAGAGAGAGATGTTAGATAGATAGATAGATAGATAGATAGATAGATAATAGAGAGAGAGATGATAGATAGATAGATAGATAGATAGATAGATAGATAGATAGATAGATAGATAGATAGATAGATAGATAGATAGATAGATAGATAGATAGATAGAGCCACTTCCCAATCTACCAACTGTTTGATTGCTTGATAGTTTCATCGTGAGTATTTTGCACAGCTTCTGACAAGGAATGGTAGAAGGGATAATCTAGCACAGGGGTCTCCAAATTTGGCAACTTTAAGACGTGAACTCCCAGAACTCCTCAACCAGCCATGGAGATCCCTGGTCTAGCAGATGGAGATGGCAATTATTCATCTGAAGGAAAAGCTAAAGTGGCCTAAAATGGTGGTGGTTGTCCTCCATAGGTGGAATGCAAGGCGGTGATGGTCTTCTTCCATTACTGTGTGATGTCCAACTATTTCTGGCTGTTCATTGAGGGGCTGTACCTCTTTACGTTACTTGTGGAAACCTTCTTTCCAGAGAGGAGATATTTCTACTGGTACACTATCATTGGCTGGGGTAAGTGCTTTCTTCAGAAGAGGACATTTTAGCTCAGGGTTGAATTGTAGAGTCTTTGGTGCTCTCTGAGCTTGGTGGTTTCCTTGCAGATGTTTCATAACCCAATTAGGGAACATCATCAGTGCTAGAAAGGAGTGGGGTTTGCAGGAAAGGAGGAGGAGGAGGAGGAGGAGGAGGAGGAGGAAGAGGAGGAGGAGGAAGAGGAGGAGGAGGAAGAGGAGGAGGAGGAGAAGAAGGAGAAGGAGAAGAAGAAGAAGAAGAAGAAGAAGAAGAAGAAGAAGAAGAAGAAGAAGAAGAAGAAGAAGAAGAAGAAGAAGAAGAAGAAGAAGAAGAAGAAGAAGAAGAAGAAGAAGAAGAAGAAGAAGAAGAAGAAGAAGAAGAAGAAAGAATGGAAGATAAGAAGAAGAACTGTGGAGTCCTTGGTGCTCTCTGAACTTGGTGATTTCTTGCAGATGTTTCCTAACCCAACTAAGTAAGAACATCAGTGCTATGAGGAAATGAGGTTTATGGGGAGGAGGAGGAGGAGGAGGAGGAGGAGGAGGAGGAGGAGGAGGAGGAGGAGGATTGTGGAGTCCTTGGTGTGTCCTGAGCAAATGTTTCATGACCCAACTAAGTTATATTATCAGTTCTAGAAGTGAGTAGGGATTGCAGACTCATTACAGGTAGTCCTCAATTTATGTCCACAACTGGGACCCCAGGATTTCCATAGCTAAGCAAGGCAGTTGTTAAAAGTCGAGGACTGCCTGTGCTAGCCATCACATTATCTGTAGCTATTCTAGATCCTTGGGAAGGATCCCCTACTCTGAAGTAGCAGATCCAGTCAAACCTACCTGGTTGACTGTGTGTAAATAATAACAACAACAATGATGGTTATTAGGCCAGTGAAGGCCAACCTAAATTCCATTTTTGACTGGGAAACATCTACTTGTCCCACGCACCGTCACTTTTCTTTTTCTCCCCTCCAGGAACTCCAACCATTTGTGTCACAGTCTGGGCTGTCCTTCGGCTTCACTTCGATGACATTGGGTAGGTGGCATGGCACACCTCTTCCTTGGCATCACAGCGGGTACAAAACTGGTAAAGTTTTGTGCACTGTCCTTCAGACTGCACAAGATTGCACAACTGCCATCAATTTTGGTTAATCAAATGATTGTGACTTTGTTAATCTCTCCATTGTGGTGTTGATACGGTGTCTTTGTCTGTCTGTCTATTTGTGTTTGTGTTTGTGTAAGAGAAAGAGAGATAGAATACAGGTAGCCCTTGACCTATGACTGTAGTTGGGTCTGGAATTATGGGTGTAAGTTGCGGCAGGCCTCGGTTGTTAAAAAGGGTCACCTTTTTTTTAATGGTCATTAAAGGAACCGTGTGGTCTTTAAGTGAAACCATTGTATCTAATGGGCAGGTTTTTTTTCCTGGAAATTGGAATTAAACACTGGTTTCTCCCCCAAAAATATGTCATAAATGGAGGTCACATGATTGCAAATAGCCATAAATTTGGGCTGGTCGCTAACTACTCAAAATGCAATCATGTGACCATGGGGGCTGGGCGTTGTAACTTTGAAACAAGCTCGTAGATAGCTCTAGGGAGGACATAACTTGGAACACTCACTAAGCGACCAGTCGTAAATTGGGGACAACCTGTAATGAATAATCTGGATACCGGTGCTGAGTGTTTATTTTGCATTTTCTACATGATTTAAGAAGCTAGGAAGCAGATGCGTAAGGATATGAGAAGGACAGGAATCCCTAAAATTTGTACTTTGAACTGGCTGAGTTTTAATTAATACAGATAATTCTCAACTTACGACCACAACTGAGCCCAAGATTTCTGTTGCTAAGTGAGACATTTGTTAAGTGAGTTTTGTCCCATTTTACGACTTTTCTTGCCACAGTTGTTAAGTGAATCACTGCAGTTGGTAAATTAGTACCATGGTTGTTAAGTGAATCCGGCTTCCCCACTGACTTTGCCCGCCAGAAGATCACAAAAGGGGATCATGTGACCCTAGGACGCTGCAACCGTCATAAGTATGAGTCAATTGCCAAGCATCTGAATTTTGATCACGTGACCATGGGATGACGCAACGGTCACAAGTGTGAAAAATTGTCATAAATCACTTTGAACGGTCACTAAATGAACTGTTGAGGACTACCTGTATTAAAAGAATTAGAATTTAGTTAATACTGTATCCAAGAATCAGGTGAGTCTTCAAAGAATAAAGGTTAGGTTTCCTTTAAGATGTACAGGTAGTCCCCAGCTTATAACTGATCCAGAATTTCCATTGCTAAGCAAGGCAGTTGTTAAGTGAGTCGTGCCCGATTTTATGATCTTTTTTGCCATCATTGCTAAGTGAATCATATGGCCGTTAAGCAAATCCGGCTTCCATCATTGACTTTGCTTGTGGAAAGCCAGCTGGGGAGGATACAAATGGTCAAATGACTCCAGGATGCTGCAATCATAAATACACACTGGTTGCCAAGCACCCAAATTTTGATCATTTGGGATGCTGCAACAGTCATAAGGGTGAGGACTGCTCATAGGTCACTTTTTTCAGAGCCATTGTAACTTTGAACGGTCACTAAATGAATGGCTGTAAATCAAGGACTGCCTGTATTCATTCTGGGTGGGCAATTTTAATTTTATTCCTAAGTCCTCTTGACTGTCTTTCTTCTTTTCCCATCAGATGTTGGGACATGAACGACAACACGGCTTTATGGTGGGTGATCAAAGGTCCAGTTGTGGCGTCCATAATGGTAAGTCCATTTAGGATGTGAGGATGGTCCAGCCATTGGCCACAGCTCAACGTGAATCCACACTTACGTAAGGTTAAAATCTATGGTGTGACTTTATACACACTGATAAGGCCACACTTGGAATATTGCAGTGGTGGCGAACCTATGGCACGGGTGCCTGTGGGCACGCGCGACATCGCCCCAGTCCTAGGCCTTCAGCTGGGTTTTATAAAACCTTTTCGCTTTAGGTCTCCGCCGCCGTGTGCAAAAAAAAAAAAAAGTTCAATCAGTCAATTTCAACTTCTTGCGGGGAAAAAAAAAGATCTTGCAAAGTTGGAATTGATTGAATGAACTTTTTAGTCCCACCCAGTCTGCCGTTACCACCGCAGGCACGCCCACCCAATGGGTCACACCCACCCAATGGGCCACACCCACCTGGCACTCGACAATGCATAAGTGGGTTTTGGGTTGCAGTTTGGGCACTCGGTATCTAAAAGGTTCGCCATCACTGGAATATTGCATCCAGTTTTGGTCACCACAATCCAAAAAAGAGGTTGAGACCCTAGAAAGAGTGCAGAGAAAAGCAACAAAGATGATGTCTGGAGGCTAAAACATACAATGAATGGTTGTGGGAACCAGGAATGTCCAGTTTAATGAAGAGAAGGAGTAGGGGTGACATGATAGCAGTCTTCCAATTTTTGAGGGGCTGCCCCAAAGAAGAGGGAGTCAAGCTATTCTCCAAAGCGCCTGAAGGCAGGACAAGAAGCAACAGATGGAAACTCACCAAAGAGAGAAGCAACCTAGAACTAAGGAGAAATTTCCCAATAGTTAGAACAATTAAACAATGGAACAGCTTGCCTCCAGATGTTGTGGGTGCTTCGACATTGGAGGTTTTCAAAAATAGACTGGACAACCATTCATCTAGAATTATATACGTTCTCCAGCCTTGAGCAGCAGGTTGGATTAGGAGACCTCTGAGATCCCTTTCAACTCTATGATTCTTTCTTCCATATCTGCAACTTTGGAACCAAGCATTGCAAATCACTGGGGGGTACCACTGTAATTTTACACATGATTGGTAAACCTTCATGTAACTGACATCAAATCTATATCCAGATACCAATATGAAAACAATGGAGGATTCTGTTTTGGTCACCACGATATAAAAAAGATGTTGAGATTCTAGAAAAAGTGCAGAGAAGAGCAACGAAGATGATTAGGGGACTGGAGGCTAAATAGTATGATGAACAGTTGCTGGAATTGGGTATGTCTAGTTTAACGAAGAGAAGGACAAGGGGGGTCATAATAGCAGTCTTCCAATATCTCAGGGACTGCCCCAAAGTCAAGCTATTCTCCAAAGCGCCTGAAGGCAGGACAAGAAGCAACGGATGGTAGATTATCAAAGAAAGCCCAAATTTCTATTGTTAAGCAAGACAGTTGTTAAGTGACTTTAGTCCCATTGTACGACCTTTCTTGCCACAGTTGTTAAGTGAATCTGGCTTCCCCAGTGGCTTTGCTTGTCAGAAGGTCGCAAAAGGGGATCACATGACCTTGGGACACTGCAACCGTCATAAATATGAAAGCTGCCAAGCGTCTGAATTTTGATCACATGACCATGGGGATGCTGCAACGGTCGTAACTACTACTACTACTACTACTACTACTACTACTACTACTACTACTACTAATAATAATAATAATAATAATAATAATAATAATAGTTGGAAGGGACCTTGGAGGTCATCAAGCCCAACCCCCTGCTCAGGCAGGAAACCCTATACCATTTCGGACAAACGGCTGTCCAGTTTCTTCTTAAAAACTTCCAGTGTTGGACCATTCACTACTTCTGGAGGCAGGTTGTTCCACTGGTTAATTGTTATAATTGTCAGGAAGTTTCTCCTTAGTTCCAGATTGCTTCTCTCCTTGATTAGTTTCCACCCGTTGCTTCTTGTCCTGCCTCCAGGTGCTTTTGAAAATAGCTTGACTCCCTCTTCTTTGGGGCAGCCCCTGAGATATTGGAACACTGCTATCATGTCCCCCCTCGTCCTTCTCTTCGTTAAACTAGACATACCCAATTCCAGCAGCCGTTCCTTATATGCTTTAACCTCCAGTCCCCTAATCATCTTTGTTGCTCTTCTCTGTACTCTTTCTAGAATCTCAACATCTTTTTTACATCATGGTGACCAAAACTGGATGCAGTATTCCAAGTGTGGCCTTACCAAGGCCTTGTAAAGTGGTATTAATACTTCACGTGATCTTGATTCTATCCCTCTGTTAATGCAGCCTAGCTCTGTGTTGGCTTTTTTGGCAACTGCAGCACACGGCTGGCTCATATTTAAGTGATTGTCCCTCTCACAGTTGCTACTGTTGAGCCAGGTACCACCTATGCTATATCTGTGCATTTGGTTTTTCTTGCCTAAATGTAAAACCTTAATTGTCTCACTACTGAATTTCATTTTGTTAGAAAGGGCCCAAGTTCAAGTCTGTCAAGATCCTTCTGGATTTTGAGCCTGTCTTCTGGAGTGTTGGCTATTCCTGCCAGCTTGGTGTCGTCAGCAAATTTGATGAGTTCCCCATCTATCCCCTCGTCCAAATCATTGATGAAGATGTTGATTTGGACGAGGGGATAAATGGGGAACTCATCAACTGTGGAGATAAGTTGTAAGTCACTTTTTTCATAGCTTAGGAAATACAGGTAGTCCTCAACTTATGATCACGATTGAGTCCAAAATTTCTGTGGCTAAGCGAGTCGGTTATTAAGTGAATTTTGTTCCATTTTGCAACTTTTCTTGCCACAATTGATGAGTGAATTACTGTGATTATTAAATTAGTAACAAATTTGTTAAGTGAATCTGGCTTCCCGATTGATTTGCTAATCAGAAGGTCACAAAAGAGGATCGTATGACCCCCAGGACACTGCAACCGCCATTATATGAGTCAGTTGTCAACTGTCTGAATTTGGATGGGGAAGCTGCAATGGTTATAAATGTGAAGTCCTTTTTTTTCAGTGCCTTTGTAATGTTGAACCCTCACTAAATGGTTGATGTAAGTTGAGAGTGACCTGGAATGATTGTTTTGCAATATTGAAGGTGCTGCAGATATTCTTATGTTTTATTTCATTAGCTATCAAACAGTGGGCTGCAAAAAAAAATTGAGTCTGCTGGACTGTAAATTCTTTGCTTTTTTTAATTGGAAGACACAGATTTCTTCGTCATTGGCTGATCCATTTCTTTTTTTTCCCCTCTTCCAAGATCAATTTTTTGCTTTTCGTTGGCATCATCATCATCTTGGTTCAGAAGCTCCAGTCACCAGACATTGGGGGCAATGAATCCAGTATCTACTTGTAAGTATACAGTGAAATATTCAAACCACCCCCAGGAAAAAAAAAAGAGAATATTTGTAGCTGAGGGTTGAACTGTGGGGTCCTTGGTGCTCTCTGAGCTTGATTGTTTTCTTTGCAGACGTTTCATGACCCAACTAAGTAATTTCATTAGGGCTAGAAGGGAGTGGGGATTGCAGAGAGGAGGAGGAGGAGGAGGAGGAGGAGGAGGAGGAGGACTGTGAGATCCTTGATGTTCTCTGAACTTGATTTCTTTTCCTGCAGACGTTTCATGACCCAACTAGATAATGTCATCTTTGCTAGAAGAGAGAGGAGAGAGAAAATCTTATTCCTTTCTAGCCCGGATGATATTACCTAGTTGGGTCCTGAAACGTCTGCAAGAGAACAATCATGCTCAGAGAGAAAGAAAGAAAAGAAAATTATGTTTCCTTTAGTCCATAAATAAAATCAACAGCAATTGCAAGCATCAATCATGCCTTACATTGTTGATTTACTGTGCATGTCTTTCCCAATGTGCATGGGAAGGAAGATTCTTCCTTTTTAACTTCCCCCAAATGACAGAATTTGGGGGTGAAAAGCAGTTTTTGTTGAAAGAGCCGCATTTGAAAAAAAGGGAAAATTAAGACTTCTCTCCCCAAATAAACATAATCTTCCTTTCTTTCTTCTTTGGTTGACAGTGGCCTTAGGGAATACAGGTAGTCCTTGACTTACAACCATTCATTTAGTGACCGTTTGAGATTACAGATGCAGTGATTCATTTAACAACTCTGGCAAGAAAAGTCGTGAAATGGGGCAAAACTCAAGAACCGTTTCTCTTAGCAACAGAAATTTTGGGCTCAGCTGTGGTCGTAAGTCGAGGACTACCTGAACTTTGATATCCTTGGGGTTTGCTAGTTGGGAAGGCCATATATGATGACCAAGAGATTGTACAATGTTCATGATCCATGTAAAAGAGCCCAAAGTATCAGCAGGAGGAGATATTTTTAAAAAGGTCCTGATAAAGCCACCATGTTGACTTTTTTGACTGCTCCTCTATCTTCAGATGCTTCTAAAAGGAGCTTTCCAGTAGTTTATCAAGTATCAGAATCAACCCCTGCTTCTTCTTCTTCCATGCTGGTGGCCACAGCTGTAGATCGAGAACATCCCCATCAATGATTTTGCAGCTCTGTTTCAGAATAACTTTGAGAGTTGGTTCCTTATTTGATTGATTTATGTTCCATCAGGTCAGTATTGACTCTTAGCAACCCCATACGTAGATATTCTCCAGGAGCATCTCTTCACAACCTGGTTCTTCAGGTCTTGAAAGGGTGCAAAGTTCACCAACTTGTTCGTCCACTTTGTTGTCGGTCATCCTCTTCTTCTCTTTCCTTCCCCTCTTCCAAACATCATGGACTTCATGGACTGTCACCAACCTGGTCCTTCAAGTCTTCTAATGGTACCCACATCTCCTTGCTGCTAGTCATCCTCTTCTTCTCTTCTTCTGTTCTCCAAAACAACCGAGGACAGGACAAGAAGTAATGGGTGGAGGTTTAAAGGATACAGAGATCACTACTGTGTCCATCCACCTTGCTGCCCAGTCGTCCTTTTCTTCTCTTTCCTTCCCTCATTCCAAACATCATGGACTTCTCAAGCAAGATGAGTTTTTGCATTGATTCATTGGTTGGTTGAATTGAAGCATAAAGTTGATGTCAACTCTTAGCAAATATGGATTTTCTGCAGGACTATCTTTCTCCAACCTGGTCCTTCAAATCTCCTAATGGTGCCCCCATCCCCATCCTCTTCTTCTCTTTCCTTCCACCCTTCCAAACATCATGGACTTCATGCAATACTACCAACCTGGTCCTTGAAGTCTTCTAATGGTACCCACATCTCCTTGCTGCTGACCTTCCTCCTCTTCTTCTCTTCTCCAAAGCACCTGAAGACAGGACAAGAAGTAACAGGTGCAGAGCCCACTAGTGTGTCCATCCACCTTGTTTCTGGTCATCCTATTCTTCTCTTTCCTTCCACCCTTCCAAACATCATGGACTCCTCGCATGAGATGAATTTTCACATTGATTCACTGGTTGGTTGAACCAAAGCATCAAGTCGATGTCAACTCTTAATAATCTCACAGTAGATTTTCTCCATGACCATCTGTCTCCAGCCTTGTTCTTCAAGTCTTCTAATGGTGCCTCCTTCCAAGTTGCTGCTGGTCATCCTCTTCTTCTCTTCTCCAAAGCACCTGCAGACAGTAATGGGTGGAAGTTTATCAAGGAGAGATGTCTAGGGAGAAGAGAACTGAAGAAGCTTCTTGGATGAGAAGCAAAACATCTTCAAGGAAAAACAAAGAAAGTCCAGTTGCCTCTTGAAAAACCACCTTTGGGTTCATCAACGAGAGAAGCAACCTAGAACTTTCCTAATAGTGAGAACAATTGACCAGTGGAATGGTTTGCTTCCAGAAGTTATGGGTGCTCCATCACTGGAGGCTTTTAAGAAGAGATTGGACAGCCATTTGTCTGGAATAGTACGGTAAGTATAGGGTCTCCTGCTTGAGCCGGGGGTTAGACTAGAAGACCTCCAAGGTCCCTTCCAACTCTGTTCTTCTGATGTTCTATTCCCTTACATCATTCCCAGCATCAGAGTCTTCTCCAGAGAAATAGATTTTCATATAATGTGTCTAAAATATGATAATTTGAAGCTGACCATTTGTGCTGCATGTCATTTAGTTCCTTAAGGACACACCTCTCCCCAAAGGTGATGGGATTTGGGAGACACATAAACCATTTAAAATTTCATTTTAAGAGGAGTGTTTTTTTCCCCCCAGTAAAGACAGCTGCCTCCTTCAGAGATTCTAGGGATAAAATCCATACCAGTCAACTGAACGCTTTATCCTTCATTATTTAATCATTTCCTCAATTGTTATTCTACCGCAATTAATTGATTCTGGGGAATTAATTAAAAGAAAGTCAAAGAACCAGTGTAGAAATGAACCTTCCAACTCATTGAACCATTCAGAATAACAGAAGTGAAAACCAACCATCAACTCAGATCAATAGGCCACTTAAAAAAAGAGTGTTTTGAAATTTTATGAATGCTGAATTAATGGTTACCGTGGCATAAAAATATAAGGATTTGTCATTTCAGATACTTTAGTACAGTTAGTCCTTTACTAAATAACTGAGCCTCAAATTTCTATTGCTAAGTGAATTTTGTCCCACTTTACGTCCTTTCTTGCCACAGTTGTTAAGCGAATCACTGCAGCTGATAAATTGGTCACCCGGTTAAGTGAATCCGGCTTCTCCCATTGGCTTTGCTTGCCAGAAGGTCACAAAAGGGGATCACATGACCCTGGGAGACTGTGACCGTCATAAATACAAGTCAGTTGCCAAGACCCTGAATTTTGATCCCGTGGCCATGGGGATGCTGCAATGGTCATAAGTGTGAAAAATGGTCATAAGTCATTTTTTTCAGGGCCGTTGTAACTTCAAACGGTCACTAAGTGAACTGTTGTAAGTTGAAGAGTCCCTGTACTTGTTGACGACTCTTTTCTTCCTGTTGGGCGGATGTAGTTTACTCAATACCTAATATTTTATAAGCGTGGTTTTCTATCCTTGTGATTTTGATGGACGATTTCCATTAGGGCGAGCTGCAAGCGCTGAGTGCTTATTTCCTCTAAATGTCAGGGTTAATGGTTCATCGTCAGCAAAGCAGGAAAATAGGTAGAATATTAACATCTGGAGCAGTGCAGAAGCTTGTTGATGGGAGAAATCCGGTCGATAGAGGATGTTTTACAGAATTACAGACTAACAAGAGTTGGAAGGGACTTTGGAGGTCTTCTAGTCCAACCCTCGGCTCATTTAGATTTTAGATTTTAGATTTTATTAAATTTATACCCCGCCCTTCTCCCGGAGGACTCAGGGCGGCTTACAGCCAGTTTAAAACAGTAATACAATACAAAATTTAAAAAGATTAAAAATAAATATTTAAATTTGGCCGCTTCTACTAAAAATTTAATTTAAAACCCCTTTAAAATACCCCTAGGCCAGTCCTGCCT